ATAATGATGTTTTAATAAACTTTACAAAAAAATTAATATTCTATAAAAACATACCTTCGTTTTTGAATTTTTAATCAAACGACATGCCGATGTCGGGATGAATGGACGACTATGAAAATTATTTTGATCCAATAAAAATGTTTGTGGAAAAGCATAGTGGAGCTAATTAATTTAATAATTTATACTATATTAATTATATATTCAATAATAACGAAGGTTCTGTATCGATAATAATGTACATTTATAAAGGTACTGAGTATTTAAGTTCGGAATTGTGCTGAATTAGTTTTCATATAACTTAATTTATCAATTATTGAAAAAAAAAAATTATAATAAATATATAATTGTAAAAAATTATTAATATAATGTAATAAAATACTATTATAAGTTATACAATAATAATTTGACAACAGATGGAAAATTATGAAATATATATTCATACATACATTCTGAATTTTTGGAGTCAATTTTTGGAGTGGAATAAAATTAGCAAAGTAGCTAACGAATTAATTAAACAACGTATCTAGAAATATTTAAATTGCAATAAATAACTATAAAACATAGTTATATTCAAGTGCACTATTATTGCCAATAAGTTAACTAATAATAGCAATAGTCTTTGAATAAAAAATATATAGCATTTTGTTAACACTCCAAATCATAATTGATTATTTTTTCGTTCAAATAATTATAATTAAAAATAAACATAATTGATTTTTTGCATGATTTGATTTTATGTTTATATTACCATTTAATTTACTTTTCTCCCAGCTAATTGAAAAGTAACAAAATTATTGCTGATCAAAAAAAGTGTCACAACCGTACCCAATCTCACCTACCATATATTCTGATTGTCTAATTAAATACAATAACTAGTGGTGCATGGCATTGTGCCTTAAGACAAATTGCTGGAACTTCCCGGAACGAAAACTAAATAATTAAAAAAGCTTTGCAAAATTTTGAAAAAATTAGATGACAGACTTTTTTGAAAAGTTAGTTTTTTTATTTTGTTTTTTTTTGTATTTTGATTTTTTTTGAAACTTCTGAAATTTTTTTTTAAAGAATTGCACTACATAGCTGATTTGGTGTGAAAATATCAAAGCGCGTAAGCGCCGCGTAGTCGTCTAACATGTTAACATTGGTACAAAACTCATATTAATGTACACAAAATTTGTACTTAATGTTATAATCTTTACAAAATATCTGATAATACGATGTATATATGTTTAATGCTCATTTTTGACCGCCAAATGGCATCATTTTTTACTTTTTTTATTGCATATACAGAGACGCTGGACCTGCCTTCACAAAAATTCTACCAGTTGTTTATTTCGTCAATACAAGTAAAATGTTTTTGAATTATTAAAATCGCTCCGTTATCTCAAAAACTGAATTACCATTTCTGGCATTTTTTGTCCCGTATCTCCGTAACGGCTAGACCTGCCTTTGCCAAAAACTAATCAACACATTATTTAAATCGGTTAAACTATAATATATTTAATGACTAATCGGTTAGTGTTCGCGAAATCGTCGTCGAAAATTGGTATCTGCGCACACATACACATACACACACACATACATCCATTTGTTCTAAGCTATGCCAAAATGTTCAGAAACCTCTGAAACGTAAAAATATATAAAAAATCGATTTTTTTGCGATTACTAAAACTTACTAAAAAATGAGTTTCCTTTGTAATTCTATTTAATAGAATAGCATCTGTATTATCAATTTTATAGCTATATTACAGAAACATATAAATACTGGCATCTATTATATGCATTATACACAGTTTAAAAATGAAATTACAGGATTAAATTTAAAGTAGACATTTATCAACGTAATTTTTTGTCATCATCAGACTTCATTATAATAAGTCTGCAGTCGTTCCATTGAAAGCGAAATAGAAAAACAAGTATATTTTTCGTCTGCTCGCTTGGAAGATTTTCTCAACAAATCCTATGTTTTATGTGAAGCATGTTATGATTTCTCAGAGTCCATTTTGATCGCAGCGATATAAATATTAAGATAAAACGCTCGAGACGTATCATAAAAGCGGTATAATCATATTGTAGGATAACTTATACTCTTTGATGATGGAAATATGAGTTGAATTTTCAGTATGCGGAAAATAAAAAGCATTAAAGCGAGCCGCTCCGCTCGGGGATTTTATTACATCATTTTCGAGTGCTCGCGCGGAGTGTCGGGCTCTGATTGCCACCGAAGGACGTTCGCTCGATGATAACCTTAAGGCTTAAGCACTTTTTTTACACCAAGAGGTGAGAACTGATATTTTTTTCAGGCTATTTCTGAAAATTCCGTAAAAAATCATTGGTTTTTTTTTTAAATTAACTATAGGTCAATAATAAAATAGACCAATGTTACGTAAGGGCAATGTAACCAGTGTCGGTCCTTCCTTGAATGCGATGCATGCAAAAAATGTGGGCGCACGCCTTAGGGGGCGCCAACATGAGATTCGGAAATAAAATTTATAATATAGTTTTTTCAATATATTTTATTTGTATCTTATACTAATCTTAGTACTTTATTTTTAAAATTCGTTAAAAATTTAACATTAAAACAACAATTTCATACACGATGTACAATAAAGATGAATACATACAATTCGGCCCTTGCGCTGTCAATTAGTAGAAGTTTACGATGCAATTTTGAATATTTTAAATAATAAAAAATTATATTAAAAAAATTTCAACATGAAGTACGAGTATAACACTCTACTTTAAATAGAGATAAATGTCTACTTTAAATTTAATCCTGTAATTTAATTATTAAACTGAGTATAATGCATATAATAGGTACTATTATCTATATGTTTTTATAAAATGGCTATAAAATTGATAATATAGATATTATTTCATTGAATTATAAAAGATGTCATTTTTTTGTTTTGTTTAAATGGACAATCAAAATATATAGTAGGAAAGATTGGGCACGGTTCTGCCACTTTTTTTAATAATAAAAAACTAGTTTTTTTGCGCTTTTAGCATGATTTGCTCAACAAAATAAATAGCTTAATATTCCCAAAATAAATAAGTAAAATATTTCAAATATTAATATTACACATGCAAAGACAATTGAAAATTTAAAAATATTTTTGCAAACAATATATGTTGTTACTATATATTAAGTTCAATATATAATGAACTTGTTGCAATTTTTGGATGTCCTGAAAAGTTTGAATAGAAAATAAATTTTCTAAATAAATTTAAATCGATGTATTTTATACGCTTTTTTTAAAAGAATAGAATTGATTTTGCATTTCAATTAAGTTATAACTGTTAATTTTTTTAAATTTTATTTGGCCTCGCTTACTCTGAGCATTTTAGCCACCTACAACATTTTTATTTATTTATATTCTAATTTTTATATCATATTTAATTTATATATATAAAATTATATTAAAATAAACGTAAATGTTTAAATAATTATAATGATAATATATTAAAATATTTAAAATAATAGGGACTAGAAAATTTTAATTAGATAGTGAAAAATAAATGATAAATCATAAATTATGATACGTATTTCCTTGCAAATCTAGACCGCCTTAACTAATTGTAAATAATATTGTTATTAATTCGCACTATCTAATAAAAGAAGATTCCAAAAAGGTTGCATAAATAAATAGCAATGGAATTATGCATATTATTTCACAAAATTGGACCCACTTTAATTATTTTCAATTAGCACGTTAATCGCCACAATAATGCCTAAAACTTTTAATATGGGTCGTGGTTATATTAAAATAATTTAGTTAAAAATGTATAAAAAAAATTGACACAATTTCTGGAGAAAACAATATTGATGCATTGCTTTGTGAAATTGGATTTAACCTTATTAATTTCAATAAATATTATTATTGATTTAAATTTTTAGTATCCAATAGAATAAAGTCACTAGCAAAATTGTTCTAATTTTATATTTATAAATAAAAAAATAATTCATAGTTTTGAGTACTCTCATGATAAAAATGATTTTTCGGGCATATTAGAATTCTTGTTTAGATTCGGTCACGTTGTGTAATCAGTTTTATATATCCATATTAATTTTTCAACTTCTTTATTTACATGCAAATTATTGTTAAGAATATTAACAAGATTTTGCATTTGTATACCTCGTTCTGATTAGAACTCCCAAATTGTATTTATTACGATTAATGTATTAATTTCAATGAATATATTTTAAGTATCTAGTCATTGAAATATATTTTTAATATACTTATATAATATATATATATATATATATATATATTATATATATATATATATATATTCTACAAATGAATAATTAGTACGAACTAACGTAGCATTTCGAATTTTTATTTTGGTTTATACAAGTATTGGACCTGCTCTTAATCAATTTATTTTTTAATATTAAATGTAGTTGATTTGCAGAAATACCTAATTATTTGATTAAAAAATGAGATTATTTAATAATAATCTATTACAATTTTTTGTGAATTAACAAAAGTAACGTTTTCAACATCAAAATCTTTTTTCTAAAAGATACGCCTTAAAATTTGTATTATTTTATGGTGTATCTTTTAAATAAAAGATTTTGATGTTAAATGTATATCACTTCTATTTTTAACAAAAATGTGTTAAATTTTAAAAATTTAGAGCTGTAAAAGAGATTACATTAAATCTATATAAAATCGGATAATTAAAGACATGTAAATATCTAAATGCGACAAATTTATTAAAAACATAATACAATATATACGACAATTACAAAAATAACATAAGGTGCCTGGTTTTATTCAATTCGTCCACACTTGATAGTTCAAATACGGTCTGAAATATGAAGAAAACAATTGAAATAAATTATCGAAAAAAATAAAACGAAATATTGAGAATCATTTTGATATAAATTATTCACCATAATCCAAAATTAGATCTCTCAGGTAAAACTTGTTGGAATTGCCTTGCAGGTGTTTTCGCCTTGGCGACGCGTCGTCCATAACGTTAAAATAACAAATAATCCTAAGTTTTGTAATAGTCAGGGGTTAAAATATAATTTATTTTTAAATTTTCCGTCCAGTTGCACTATAATATGATCATCAAGACCATTGCAACGAAGGCGACAATTCCAAACAAGTGCATTTCTACACACATCTTGAATAAATAAAATATTTCGTATCTAAAAATTTAAAACATAAATTAATACTGATAAAATTTGGTTTTGCAAATGTCGCACTTACCTTAATAACTATGGCTTTGCTCCAATAAAATCGAAATTATTCGGTTAAAATCCAAATTAATTGAAGCAATAATAGCATAGAGGACTTTCTTCGATTAATTGTTTGATACTACAAATAATTATGACATTTTCAATGATCATTGAGTAATGTATAGCTTATATTGTGATCAATTATTACATACGCTAAAATAATAAAATAACAATCCTAATAGTTCTAAAATGGTCAGGTAAAATGACAATTTATTTCTAAATTTTCCGTCCAGTTGCACTACAATATAATCATCAAGATCATTGCAACAAAGGCAACAATTCCAAACAAGTGAATTTCTGCGCACATTTTGTATTAATGGGAAATATATGTATCTAAAAATTTGAAACATGAGTTAATACTGGAAATATTGTCTTAAGAAAATATTTTTTCCACTTACCTTAATAACTATATCTGTAATAATAATATCAGGTTTGTTCAAAGAAGAATCATCAGAACGAATGCTACTAAAACTATAAATCCATAACAGTGAGCTTCAAAACACATGTCCATTATTTTTGTGACATTTAAAATTGCATTATTAAAACTAAACTTTTTCAAGATTTTTAAAATTAAAACCGGAATAAATATTTTCTATCGTCGTCTTTGCGATGCCAACACCTACTTGTGAACTGATTTCAACAGGTATACAGGAAATGTTTCAAAATTTTTTGTTGCTAAAACAGGTATCTGTAATATTTGCTTTTATACAGCGACAGCTATTATTGATATTATGTCTTTGGTTTTTGGGATCATTACCTGTGGTAAATCGTAGACAAATATTAAACCAAGCTTTTAAAATTCCTGGTAACAAACCTTTATCGTGCTGATATATTTATGGTAATAAAAGTGTGTTGCTGTTTTTGGTTAGTGTAAATGGATGTTTTGTTCTATAATTAAACATCAGTATTTGATCACTGGACTGTCCATAAAAATAATTGTTGTTTGCTATAGTCTACTGTATCCAAAAATTTCCATCAGAACACTTTCACTTTTACTGCGTATATTTTACAAGTTGAGAATAGAATCCTCATATATTTTTTGCTTAATTGTGTAAAAATAGTGTGAAGAAATTTATTTCATTTTTTTAACACAGTCGGGATATAAAAGGATGAAATGTCGAAAATATATGTGTGTTTCACCAAATATTATTTTAGGCACAGTTTTGTAGGTAAATGACTATTTATATACTATATGTTATTTGATGCTGTATTTTTAATTTTTTTTTATTTACGTTTCAATTATAGTACTAACTAGCTGTAAGTGGAATTCTGTCTTAAGGCAATTAGGGCATCGTGCCTTAAGGCAAATTGCTGGAACTTCCCGTACCAAAAATTATTATTTTTTTAAAAACGATTAACATTTTTGAAAAAAATTTACTTCGAAAAAATAAGATTTTTGACAAACAATCAGACAAAAAATTACTTTTTTAAAAAAAAAATTTTTTTTTAATTTTTTTTTTTTGAAAAAAAATATTTTCTTCATTTTGACATATTTTGAAAAATCTAAATTTTTTTTCAAAGCAATCGTACTACTTTAACTGCATAAAGACGAAATATCAAACCGCGTAAGCGCCGCGTCGACGTCTAACGCGTAAACATTGGTACGGAACCCATAGGAATGTAAACCAAAATTATACTTATTGTTAAAATCTCTATAAAATATCTGATAATTTGATGTGCATATGTCTAATGATCATTTTTGACCGCCAAATGGCATTTTTTTTTACTTTTTTCATTAGATCTCCGAAACCGCTAGACCTGCCTTTATGAAAATTTGATCGGTTCTTCACCTTGTCAATACAAGTAAAATGTTTTTTGAATTATTAAAATCGGACGCTCCGTTCTCTTAAAAACCAAGTTATCGTTTTCGGCACTTTTTGCCCCGTATCTTCGGAACGGCTGGACCTGACTTTGCCAAAAACTAATCAGCACGTCTCCTTATCAATACGAATCGAACGTTTTTTGAATTATTCAAATCGGTTGATCGGTGTTCCCGAAATCGTCGACGAAAATTTGTATCCGCACATACATACACACACGCACACACACACACACACACACACACATACATCCATTTTTTCTAAGGTCTAAGGTTCTAACCTTTGAAACGTCGAGAAATGCAAAAATTTTTATTTTCGATTTTTTTGCGATTACTATACCTGCCCTACGGGAAGTTAAAAATTGACTTAAACTTGATATGTTTTGATAGTTTTTATGGCAAAGCTTGTAGGTGTAACAGAACAATTAATTCTTTGCTTTTGTTTTCAATTATGTAAGTAATAAACTGCATTCGTCATATTTTACTTTTTTATTTTCACAATCTTTATTTGTTTATTATAAGTGTATACAAAAATATAATAATAACTAATTGGACACCTATCCAATTGATATCAATACAATCATTCAAATTACATAATAAAATATGTTATGCTGGAATTAACAAATATGTGATATTGATAATCTACAAAAAAACATAAACATATTATCAAAAACCATAAACAATCACATTTCACTTACAAACTATAAAAATATTTTTTGGATCTTTTATTTGAGGTACGATTTGTATATTATTAAGACTGTAATTGTTTCGTTATGTTTAGAAAATGACGATTTTGGAGGGCACCTCATTAGTTGTGATGTGACATATTTTTTTAAATATCTACCATAAATACTATCTTTTGTTTTTTGAATAAATAAAATATTTGTACTAAGCACAGTACATGTATACAAGCTTAGAATATAGGCGGCTTATTTTACAAAATATATTGGAATGTTAGTTTAGTAGACCATGAACTCTTATCAATACACAAAGTTTAATCAAAATCGTCAAAAATAATTTTATCTGATCCAATCTATACTGAAAACTAATCCGCACGATTTCCATCTAATATTTTTCGTATTTTTTTTTTTGCATATAAATTATAATCTGTCAATAGATACACATTGAGTAATTGATTTGAGAATTAGCAGTAGTGTTTTAAAAAGAAAACCCAATTTACTTTTTTATTTTTGTACTGCACATATAATTTTTATTTTATTTTACAAAAAAAATATAAAATGCACATACAATTATAAACACAAGTACACTACACGTGCACATTCGTAGTATGGTGACATAACATAATCTAAACTATATATGACATAATCATGAGTTAATATAATAAGTTGTATTATCGCCTATTGTGTTAATTTAATTAAATGAGGTCTCTTCAGTCCTATTGTTAAATTATACGTGGTATTGTACAGATTTGCTATAAGTTCATTTTGCTGTTGGTCAAAGCTGTGTCTTTGTACTTAAGAGCACTTTTTTCATTTTCTCCTCTGTATTGTTGTGCCGATGAAATAACCATGCCAGAACATATCTTGGTGCGAAATTTTCAAAATTGGATCGGAATTTTTACTTTCCTTTTTTGCGTAAAATTTCACTTTTCTGCTAATTTTGATACGTCCTCCTTATCAAGTTTTAGAGTCGGTTCAGCCCTTTCCAAAAAAAAAAACCTCGACAAAATGTCAAATATTAGCCCACGTACACATACCGATTATTATGTGGGAAAATTACAAGATCGGAGATTTTGAATTTTTTTTTAAATTCCAGTTTTTTGCCACTTGACCCCCAATTGTGCCTTTAGATTTGTGTTTAGTGGTAAAAACTATATTGGAAAACATATGTCACACATCCAATACAGACAACTTTTTTATTTTGTGGACCTGTGAAATTCATAATAAAACTAGTGGGGCGCATGGCATCGAAATTGGTGGAACTTCCCGTACCAAAAATTATTTTTTTTTTAAAAGATTAACATTTTTGAAAAAAATTTACTAAAAATTTACTTTTTTTAAAAAAAGACTTTTTGAAGAAAAGTGTATTTTGAAATAATTTGGAAATTCTGAACTTTTTTTCAAAGCAAACGCACTGCTTTGACTGCATAAAGACGAAATATCGAAGCGCGTAAGCGCCGCGTCGCCGCCTTACGCATAAACATTGGTACGGAACTCATAGAAATATAAACAAAATTTATACTTATTGTTAAAATCTCTATAAAATATCTGATAATTTGATGTGCATATGTCTAATGATCATTTTTGACCGCCAAATAGCTTTTTTTTTTACTTTTTTTTACTAGATCTCCGAAACCGCTAGGCTTGCCTTCATGAAAATTTGGTCAGTTTTTCATCTCAATACAAGTAAAATGTTTTTTGAATTATTCAAATCGGACGCTCCGTTCTCTTAAAAACTGAGTTACGGTTTTTGGCACTTTTTGCTCCGTATCTTTGGAACGGCTAGACCTACCTTCGCCAAAAACTAATCAGTTCGTCTCCTCATCAATACCAATCGAATGTTTTTTGAATTATTCAAATCGGTTGATCCCGAAATCGTCGACAAAAATTTGTATCCGCACACACACACATACACACACGAACACATACACACAAACACACACACACACATACATCCATTTTTTCTAAGTATACCAAAATATTCAGAAGCCTTTGAAACGTAAAGATATATAAAAATTATATCATTTTTTATTTTTTTGCGATTACTATAACTTGCCCTACGGGAAGTTAATAATATGTCAATATTTAGTATGGAAACTTCATCATAACATAGCCTTCACCATAACATTGTTCTGTTATGCGGCAAAATCGGTCCATTAATTTCTATTAGCTGTACAAAAAAAATCTTCGAATAATTGTCAAACTATTGAAAACTGCACATACACATTCAAACATTTGCTAATTATTGTGTGCATAATGACTTGTAACGTCGAGAAAGCATAAAATTAGCAATTCAGTTTTTCTAACAAAAACACAAACTCCTCTTTCGAGATGCTAAAAATACACTTTTGTCTCGATACAAAAATGCTTGTACCGAACAGCCGCTAATCGAATTGGAGCTGACATTTCCTGTATTCTTTCCTGTATCTATTGCCATTGTCGCGGCGGCTTAGCAGCCACGCGCCCGCAGCACCGCGGGCGTCAGCCGCCGCACGTGTGCAGCATCTATTGTGTCGCATTCAAAGCGCTAAATCGCTTGCGCCGCGTGACATATCTGATTTGCATATTGCAAACAATGTCGAATGTCGAATGCCGTGCGTGAGCCGATACACGAATACCAGATTTTCGAGATTTGCTGACATCGTATACACTGATTCTGAAGTTCATTTGAGGATTTAGTGCACCTCATCACTGCTCGATAATGAGTGATAGAATTTCTTCGATAAATTTCAATTTGAGCAGCTTGTTTCCATTAGAAATATACTAGATTTTAGAATTTTGCTTTTGGGGATTTAGACAACATTTTAAACAAAATAATTTATGAAAAGATAAATATCATAAAAATTTGAAACTACATTATTACTTAGCTAATTCTTGCAAAAATGTATGGTAATAAGTAATGTCAATATAAAATCTATCCATTATCTCGATTCTGCCGTAAAATAGACCAATGTAATGCCAAGGCTATATTACGAAGCTTTTTGCATATAAAATGGTACTAAAGACTGTCAAAATGCTATGTATTTGCTGAGCAGTCATAGTCCAGTCATTATAGTAAGTTCACCTCAGAATTTGAGATACCTAGCTGTAAATCTGTAAATACTTGTATATTGATACCCTAAAGTTGTCT